GAAAGAGGGGGTTATAATGTTCTGGTAGGAATGGACACCTGTGAGTGTCCATAGTGTAAAAGTCACCAGTCTGTTCATATGAAAATACAGTAGAGTAAGAAATAAGCATGCAAGCTGCTGGGCATTTGAGGGAGGCAGAGAAAAAGGTGGAGAGGAAGTAGGAACTAATAAGTCCAGTGCATTAGAGACAATTCCTTGCAGGTTTATACTCATGTGAAAAAAATTCAATAAAGCTTAGTGTTGGAAGTTAAGATTAAAGAAAGGAGATTTGTTTAGTGCAGAAAAGAGGCATAATGGGAAATGGAAAAGCATAAATTAAAGAGAATTAATGATGAGAAGAGATAAAAAGGTAAATTTCAAACACAGGCCAAAGTAAAATGCAGCCATTACATCTGAAGAAAGTGTCCTATTATCAGTTTTATAAATGGGCTCAAAGATCTTGGTGTGAGGCATGACAGGACAAGTAAAATTACAGAGATGGTAAGATGGTTTAGAAAGAAATACTGTGTATATATTTTCCAAAAATGAGAAGGATTGACTGCAGGAAGAAAAGAGTTCACAAAATAGGGATGGGTTCACATCCTAGAACTGTAACACTTCCCACAAAATACAGTCACTGGAATAAGACTTTTTAAATAGCTGTGTGCACATATTTATCAGTTTCGTTTTTCCTAGAACACACTATTTATTAAGGAGTGTTACAAGTTGAATAAGTAGATTAAGAATTTATGTTACTGATGCTTACTTTAATCCCACAATGAATCAGAGGATGATTGAAATAAGAAAGAGCGGCTGTGTTTTTTTGATTTCAAGAAATATTTATCCATGTAAAATTGATGAGAATTAAACATCTGAATTTTAAATTCTGGTAAAAACCAATGCAATGGAAACTGAATCATACTAGCTATTAAGAGAATATCATGAGTGGTGTTGTTCATCTTCATACTTGCTTCAACAAGAATTTTTCTTTTCTAGTCTAACTTCAAGCTATTCAAAATTCTTCACTGTGTGCTTTGAATAAATGAAAAACAGTTTGCAAGTGTATTTTTTTGGAATGCTAGTTCTGAAATCTAGATGGAAAAGATCACAGTGTATGTTACTAGTTATATCAGCATGAATTTTACCTCGTGAAAATAAATGTCGTGTTTTCCACATTTGATCAGACCAGTCAGTTAATGCACGCTGTCTATTTTGATCATAACCAAGTTGGTCTGCCAAGGTGAAGAACATCACAGAATATATTAACATATGAAAGCAGAGATTAAAGTGCATGTTGTATGGAGTCTGTTGGCATGATTTTTTTATTTTATAGACTAAAAAAGTAGACCTATCAAAATCAAACTTCACTGTTGGTTTGCTGGTGTTTTTACCATTCTTGGAATTAAAAATGTATCTTCTGACACGTGCATAGCTGTGTTACATTCTGATAGTCATCTCAGAAGAAAATCATCGTGCAGCATATGAATAATTCTCTTTTGTTATGGTTTAGGTATGACATAAAAGAAGTAAGTGGAACTTTTGTAAGTCATGAAATTTTATATTTCATGCATATTTATGGACAGGACCAATTACTGGATCCAATATGAAGCATTATACTCCTTAATAAATAGTGTGTTATCTCACAAGGTTCTGACCACTCATAGTTGTGGCTCTAGTTTGGGGTTTGTTTTTTTTTTTTTAAATGTAATTTAATTTTGGTAACAGAAGACCTATTACATTTGATTTTTTCTTTGTAGTTTGTATTGAATTAACAGAACAGTCCATATGTAGTTGAAATCTTTCATGATATAGGTACAGCAACAAAGGTTCTAAATTATGGAGCTATATTATTATGCTGAGACAAAGTTTACACTGTGCTTTCCACACTTGGTCTGGAGAGATTCTTAAAAAGTAACAGTGTATGCTATTTGGTTTTCAGGTCTCTCTCTCTCTAAGTTTTTTGGCTAATTCAATTGAATAGGCCTGAGTAAGAAATTTCTAGGAAAAACTAAATTGATAAATATATGCACACAGCTATTTAAAAAGTCTTATTCAGTGACTGTATTTTGTGAGAAGTGTTAAAGTTCTAGGATGAAGAGCTTACAATGTAGTTCAATTTTGCAAAGTGACTTGTGCATAAACTGTATTCCAAAAGGCTTTTAAAGTGCCAAATAAAACAGCTGAGCTTAAATAATAAATAATAACACATAAAGGAGATTTAAAAATAGTTCAAGTACATGAGGGAGATACAGAAAGAGATAAATAAAACAAACTCCTAACAATGAAAGTTGTGCAGGCACTGATATGAGAATGAATTCTCTAAGCTAATTCACAGTAGAAGTTAAAATTTGCTATACATGTCAGATGAGGCAAACAAAGGCCTAATTACTTTCTAAGAGGATCTTCCATTCTCTTTTTGTCCTGTATATCTGATACTCTGGTATTTGTATTAAAACAGTAGTCTACTTCATAAGAGGCATCTTTTCTCACCATTGGAGATAAACATGAAAAAACTGAGATAAAAATATTGTATGTCTCCCTCCTCTGTTGTCATGAAAAGTTACTTTACAGTGTAGCAAGATAAAGTGTAAAATCTTAAAGAGATTTCTGTTTAGTACTTCAGAGAAGGGGGTCTCTTCACATATAAATGCTCAACGTGAAGACGAGCTTGTGAATATGCCACGAAGAAGAAGATTTAATGAGCTCAAATATATACATGTGTGTATAATTAAAGAATCGGCATCTGGTTTGTTTGTTTGTCGTTTGTTGTGAATTGTATATCGTGTTTCTGTGAAAGAGCAGCTGAGTGTTTTGTGCTTTCTCTCAATTGATGAAATCCCGCCCCCCAGGAGAGGGGGCTTGTTCTGAGCATGCTTGAGGAAGAGACGGTGCAAAAGGCAAAGCAGGAAAGCTGATTTAATATTTAACGGATAAGAGTGCAGAAAGTCTGGAGAGAGGACGCAGACCTACAGTCAGACTGTAAACCTGGTGAAAAGAAAAAATATCCTAAAGCCCAAAATGAGTTATGAACTGCTATAATTGAGCATTAGAACTTGGAACAAAAGCTTAAAAAAGAGCCTATCCTGCCAGGACACAGTGACTTGAAGGAGACCTTTTTATAATTATTCTTGTTGTCTTATTTTTCTCAGAAAATGGATTTTATATATAAGAAGAAAATTTGTTACAGTCCAAGAAAAATCAGTATTTGAATATAGGGGCCATTTCTGACACTTAGGAATGTTCATTTTAAAAAGAATCTTTTGACAGAGCAACCTTTCACCTTTGACCCTCTGTACTGAATTTGTTTTGGGTAGACTTAATTTTCTTCGTAATAGATCCTATGTTATTATGTATTAGATTTGTGACCGAAACAGTGTTATAGAACAAGGACATTTTAGTTATTACTGAGCAGTGCTTACACAGCATCAAGGCCTTCTCTGCTTATCATGCTGCCTGTCCCAGCAAATCAGCTGGGGATGGGCAAGAAGCTGGGAGGGCACACAGTCAGGACACAGATGACCCCAACCAATGACAAGGATATTCTATAACGCATGAAAGGGATATTCCATACCATATGGCACCATATTCAGTGATAAATGCTGATGGAAAGGAGGAGGAAGGGACCATGTTCAGGGTTATGGTGTTTGTCTTCCTATGTAATCATTAGGCATGATGTAGTCCTGCTTTCCTGGAGATGGCTGAACACCTGCTTGACAGAGTAGCCAATGAATTCCTTCATCTTCTTTGTTTACATGTACAGCTTTTGCTGTACCTGTTAAACTGTCTTTATCTCAACCCACGAGTTTTCTCACTTTTACCCTTTCTGTTCCCTTTCCCATCCCGCTGCTGGGGAGCAGATGGGGAGTGTGTGTGGGGTGTGGGGTGTGAGGGAGTAGCTCTGGGGGGTTTCCCTGACCACCCGAGTTAAACAACACCCACTTAGGGTCAGTCAAAACACATCTTAATATTAACATGACATAGTATTATGATGAAACAAGTGGTATTTCAGATAAGGTCTTTAAGTAGACAGCTTTCATAACCCAGAATTATTGACTGGGAAAAGCTTGTTCATAATAAGTAACCTTTTAGCTTCTTCCAGACCCAAAATATGTGGAGGAGGAGAACGAGGTTAATAGGTTTAATCTGTATCAGACCTGTACCAAAAGAGATTTGTTTGCTTTGCTCTGACTGCTTCTCTTCCTTTTGACAAAAAAGGGAATTGATGTGGGTACTTTGCTTCATAGACAAATTTAGTCCGAGATGGTGTTATATATATTTATTTGCAAAGATGATACCATATGCCTTTACATAAACAGTATGGAAAACACATTTGTTAGGTGGGTGGGCTTGTTTTGCATTAAGTGGCCAGCATTTGTATTAAAACATGGGCTTTTCCTTTCTAAATGCAGTACTTGCTAAGAATTATTTTGATATTTTTTTCAGAAATCATGAATTCTAGTGATGTATTCTATTGAAGGTTGATTTAAAAATGTATTGCTAACTTTTGTTTCCTTGGTATCTTTTTTAGGATTTATTTATACCTGTGGTGGAACTTTAAAAGGACTTAATGGCACTATAGAAAGCCCTGGCTTCCCATATGGATATCCAAATGGTGCAAACTGTACATGGGTTATAATAGCAGAAGAAAGAAACAGAATACAAATCGTCTTTCAGTCTTTTGCTCTAGAAGAAGAATATGATTATTTGTCATTATATGATGGGCATCCTCATCCTGCAAACTTTAGGACAAGGTAAAGAATAAATATTAATAAAATCTAATTTGTACTAATATCTTAAAAATATATGAGAATATAGTTAAAGCCAATGTTTTTTAATTATGGATTCTTTCATGTTTAGTCTTTAAGGTGTACTTTAATTAATCATAAGTGCCAAATCTAGATCATGTGCTTTAATTCTAGTTAAAGTAAGTGCTGAAATTAATCTAGCCCTCATAAAAGTTGTCTCAACAAAATGTAATTAATTAAGAAGCATACGAGCATGGATAAATGAATGTAAAGTAAGTATGACTTTGTGGAGGTCTCAGTTTGTGTGATCTAGTAGAAGTGGAACTTTTGTATTGTTTTCAACAGGAGGCTTTTGATCAAGATCAAGAAAATATAACATTTAAGATAGACTAGGGGGTTTTTTTGTAATTGTATATGAGCATCTTCTAACAAAAAGAGATTACAACAGTAAAAAAATCAGTTTGAAATATCAAGAGTGTGATGGGTCACAGAACATTTTTTATCTGAGTCTATTTCAGAGTCATGGCCCAGATTTTAATTTCTAGAAGGTGGCAGCTTGAGGAATACATAGTAATTCAGGAACTGCAACAGATATATTAGTCATACCTTTTCTAGTTATCTTTATTATTATCTATCTTGACTTCTGTAAGTCAAGTTGTCATCTACCTAGACTTCTGTAAGGCCTTTGGCATGGCCCCACATAACAGCCTTGTTAAATAGGAGAGATACATATTTGGTGGACTGTGTGATGGCTGTGCAGTGGCTGCATGGCCACATCCAAACAGTTGCAGTGAACAGCTTAAAGTGCAAATAGAGATCAGCAACAGGGAGTCCTTCAGGGAGTCTGTACTGAGATGAAGACTATTCAGTATCTTTATTAATGGTGTAGACTGCAGGATTTAGTGCATCCTCAGCAAGTTTGCAGATGACACCAAGTTGAGTGGTGCAGTTGATTTGCCTGAAGGATGGGATGCCATCCAGAAATACATTGACAGGCTGGAGGAGTGGACGCAGGAGAACATCATGAAGTTCAGCTAGGCCAAGTGTAACATCCTGCACCTGGGTCTGGTCAGTTCTCAGTGTCAATACAGACTGGGAGATGAATGGATTGAGAGCAGTCTTGCAGAGAAGGACTTGGGGAGATTAGATAGATCAGTAGATCAATAGATGGATAGATAGATGAAAAATTGGACACAAACCATCAATTTGCAGTTACAGCTCAGAAAACCAACTGTATCCCAGGTGACATCAAAAAAAGCATGACCAGTAAGCTGAGGGAGCTGATTCTTCCTCTCTAGTTTGCTTTTGCGAGACCCCGCCTGGAGAACTGTGTCCAACTCCAAGGCTCCCAGCACAAGAAAAGCATCAACCTATTGGAGGAGGTCCAAAGAAGTCCACCAAGATGATCAGAGGGCTGGAGCACCTCTCCTATGAAGAAAGGCTGAGAGAGCTGGGGTTGTTCAGCCTTAAGAACAGAAGGCTCCAGGGAGACTATGTTGTGACCTTTCTATACTTAAATGGGCGTTATAAGAAAGAGACTTTTTACCAGAGCCTCCAGTGACAGGACAAGGGGCAATGGTTTTAAACTTAAAAGAGGGTAGATGAGGACTTGAGCACCTCCCTGACAAAGACAGGCTGAGAAAGCTGGGGTTGTTCAGCCTGGAGAAGAGAAGGTTGTGTAGAGACCTCACAGCAATCTTCCAGTATTTGAAAAGGACCTGTAGGGAAGCCAGAAAGGGACTCTTCATCAAGAACTATAGTGCAATGACAAAGGGGAATAGGTACAAACTGAAAGAGGTGAAATTTAGGTTAGATATTAGGAAGAAAACTTTTACTGTGAGGGTGGTGAAGTACTGGAACGCATTGTCCAGAGAGCTTGTGGGTGCCCCATCCATAGCAGTGTTCAAAGCCATGTTGGATAAGGTATTGAGCAACCTGGGGAGATGTTCCTCCCTATGGCAGGAGGTTTGGGACTACATGGTCTTTAAGGTCTCTTCTAACCCCTTAACACTCTATGATTCTATGATTAGGCTTAGATATGAGGAAGAAATTCTTTACAAAGAGGGTAGTAAGATACTGGAACAGGTTTCCAAGAAATCCTTGTCTTTGAGTAACCTGATCTGGGGAAAGATGTCCTTGCCCACAACAGCGGAGTTGGAACTAGATCATCTTCTGAATCAAACCATTCTATGATTTTATGATTCCGTGATCCTGTAATGAAGAATGTAGTATCTGTTCCTAATCAAGGAACATCCAGTTTCATTTTGCTTTGCATAATGCTGCTCAAATAAAGGGATTTATTTTCATAAGGTTCTATGGTAAATGTTGATTTACTGGTAATGATTACTTTTTTTAACTATTGCATACAGTCCAGCATCTGTTCACTAAAAGGAAAATGTAACTTGTTACTAGAAGGAAACTAGAACAATAAAATTCTTCATCTTAAGTCTGTACAGGATGCAAATTCTGTTTGTCAAATGGTTAACTGTCAGCAGATATGGAGAAATGCATCTCTAATGAAATTGTTTCTCTTTTTAGTTCTGTGTTTCCATTTTTATTTCCTGTTTTATGAATGTTTGTATGCAATTCTGATATCAGCTGCAGGAAAGAGGGAACCCTTAGATAAAGGATTTGAGAGTTGTCTTTCACAACAATGAGAAAAAACAGTATCATGTGGTTTTCCTCTTTTCTGCCCACTCCTCAAAAGATAAAATTGAGATTTACTCAAATGTCAGAGCCCCAAAAGTCCCTCACTAGCAGTCAAGGCTTCTATTGGTGAATCCACTCTAAATTGTAATCTCAAGGAGTATGTAAACAATGTTCTGGACAAATGCAAAAGAATTAAACAGTTTCTACAGTTAGGAACCAACGGTCCTTACTGAGTTACAATTTTAATGAGCATGAGAAAAAGGGGTGAAAGAAGTTAGGAGGATAGAAGGAAAAGGAATATAATATCTTGCAAAAACAGAATTGTTTTTCTTTATGTCTTATTCAAACTGCTGAAAAGGTTTATATGTATTTGCAGGCACATGTTAATTCATATGTATAAATGTATATATATCTGGACACATAGGTATATAGATGCCTATATTCATTTATAGATATATGTGTGCAGGATTCTTTTTAAGTGCAACTAATCCTTCAATGCTGGAGCTTTGGGATTTTTATTTTTTTTAGAGGTCTGTATCTTGAGGAGAAAGTCAAGGAAGCCTGTCATGCTTAAAAGTTGTGGTATGGTGTATTTAGGATGCCATTACATTCTGGTAAAACAGTATAAGCAGTTCTGTGGAAGAGGGTAGAATAAGTCAGCATTTTAAAAGGAAAAGACAACTGAGCCTGAATATAGGTCTTGAAATAGACTATTTTTGCAAGATTTACAAGATCTTACTGGAGTGTGGGAACAGTGGAAGAATAGTACACATTTGTGTGAGTGGAGAATTGGATTTTAAATTAACAAAGCATGATAGTGAAATTATGCAAGCTTTCTTAAATCTTTCATGATTTAAAAACGTTTATTTTCTGTAAAAAGTAGTGTGGTGATTTCCTAGAGATTTCTTTTCGCAAAAGGTTTTTATTTAAACAAGTGAAGTTTTACTGAGGTACAGTTGCTTGTGAAAACTATTGTTCTAGCATGACAGTGGATTTTGTCATTTTACTTAGTGACGTTAATGAAGGTGTAATCAGATTGCACTTGTTGCCTTCCCTTTAGTTTTGTAACAAACAAAAATATTTTCAGGGGACTACATGTGCATTTGGAAAATATATAGCTGGAGAGCTAAACAAATTGTCTCAGATAGACAAGGCCACTATTTGTTTTTTTTTTCTTCAATAAATTTCTGTATAAATTAAAATGATTTTGCAGTTTGACTATTTGTGAAGCTCATGTCCTCTGATTCCATCCTTATCCAGTTTTGTACTTCTTTGTTTAATTGGTCTCCTCAGAATTGAATCTTGTTGAAATTGCAGTCATTGACTGTTTTCACTGAGTGCTCAACAGCCTGAACTGATTTAGATTGCACTTAAATGGCAGCTAAACAATAACAAATGGAAGAGAAGCATATCTGATATGGCCATTACAGAAAGTGTACAATCAATATTATACTTGTATCTTTGTGTTACTGTATATGCTTAATTTAGTATATGTCATATGATAATCTTTGCCTCAAATTAAAAATAAACTATAAAATAATTTAAAGCTGTGAATGATATGCAAAAAATTTATATCTTTCCATTAATTATATTTGTAAGTACCTACAAAAAAAATCTGTTTGCAGAACGACAGTATTACTTCATGTATCTGAACCAAGCTTTCAGCAAAATTTCATACTTGGAAGTCTTTCTGAGTCATGTCGTAGACACTATTTTTAGGGTTTTCTTGTTGCCCTCCTTATGCATATTTGTGGTTTTTGTGTACTCTTTCTTTTGTATTTATACAACTAACACCCCTAAAAACAATTAAAAAACCAAAGCAAACAAAAAAACCACCAAAAACTCCCAAAGCAAAACAAAAAAACAAACAAAAACCAAACCCCAAAACTCCTCCCACCAAACACAAACCAAACCAAACACAAACCAAACCAAACCAAACCAAACCAAACCAAACCAAACCAAACCAAAAACCCAAACCAACCAAACAAAAAAAACCCCACTAAGGTTTGATTTCCTATGATTACTTCCAACTTGCAACTTTGGATAGGCCTTATTTTGGACAGTAGCTAATACTTCCAACTGGTATTCTGAGACCCCACACAGGCTGTGCTCTCACTTTTGTTTAGCTACACATGGTTAATTTTCTCTCAGGAGCTGAATGGAAAAAAGCTTTAAACATCCTCAGTGTTTAAAAGGGGAGTTAATAATCATAGTTTCTAATCTCTTGTACTTAAGCAAGATAAATTATCCTTTTATCTATGCTCCCCGCTGAGGCCACCAAGGATCAAACGCACAGGTTACTCCTATGCTGAGTTGCATAGGAGAAATTAACTGAAATTACTGGAGACATCCACTGC